ATAATTAAACAACAATGTTTGAACACAATTTTTTTTGGTCTCATTCCATTCTGATCGATTTCATTCACCCAAGCCAAATGATCCCCAAAGCAAGGATTAAAATTTTATTTTGGTGATTGATTAGCACAAAATATTGCACATCATGTATACTTTTGTATCCTTTTATACTTGCTTTTGTGGTGAAATGGGAGGAACTGCAATTAATCAAACAATTAATGAAGTTTCTGTGTGATTATAGGTAAAGAGTTGAAAATGGCTTGAGTTAAGCTCCTATCATAGTGCTCAAAGTCAATGGAGATGAAGGGGAGGCTTAACGGATGACTTGGAAGGTGAAAAGATCAAGAAATGAGCAAATCAAGTAAACCTACCGGTAGGTTTGCTCATAAAACTACCCGTAGGTTTTGTACATTGGAGTTGGACCTACTAGATCATCTGTCAAACCTTTTGGAAGGTTTTGCTTACGGGAACAAAACCTACCAGTAGGTTTTGACATCGACCTACCGATAGGTTTGTTGAAAAATGCCAGAACCTACAACTTATATTCTACTTGCTTGGGGGGCCCACCTATGCTTTTCCCACACATCCCCTGACATATTCTACATATAAGCATGTCTCCTTATACCTAGGATTGGTGTAGGGAAAGAGAAAAAGAGAAGCATGGTAGGTTGCAGGCTAAGAGAAAGAGAGAAACATGGTAGGTTGCAGTCTAAGCTTGTCCTAGCCTGTGCAAGTGTCAAATCACTTCATAAGGTTGGGAAGCCCATGCATTTATGAGGGAGAAAGAGAAAGAGAGGCATTTTAGGTTGCAGGCTAAGCTTGTCCTTGCCTGTGCAAGTGTCAAATCACTTCATAAGGTTGGCAAGTCTGCTCTCACAAACCATAGGGGGCTAATGGAGGAAAATGTAGAATCCTTACACCATTATTCAGCTAGAGAAGCTTTTAGAGAGAGAAGGTCTCAAGGAAGAAGACATAGTTTTAGAGTGAGAAGTTAAATTTTTTCATTTTCTTACCCATTTCACTTGTAGTAAGATATAATACTCTTGTAATCTTCATTTCTTGCATTTTAATCTTAGTTATTTCAAGTGTATTTCAAGTTTAGTTATGTATTCTTGAATCTACCATGCTTACATTTGAGTTTTTCATTTCAAGCTTTTGAGTTGGGTATGAAACGAACTTATTTTGTAGTTTAACTTTTATTCGCATTAATACAAGTTTTAATCTTCATTTCTTTACCATGTATCTTTACATTATGCATGTGTTTGCTTTCATTATGAGTAACTAAGTTTTTAGTTAGCTAATCCAAGGGAGATTTTCTCTTAGATATGCTAAATCAACTCTCCTCCATTCTTCCTCGTAGTGTAAGGTGCTTGGTTTGACTAGGTTGTGTGCGGACGTGGTTGTGAACTCTTAATACACCGTAGACTTGTCACGGGGTATGCTTGAGCCTACACCTCCACATTAGTCCTTCACTTCCTATGAATCAATCAAACACTGAGACACCAATAGTAGAAAGTTTCAAGTTGATTTGACATTTCCATTGGAATGACCCTTTCAGATTAGTCAACCTTGTTTTTATTGCATGTTATCAAAAATCCTCACTTAGCAAAACACACAACTACAAAATTTTACACTTTTTCATTTCTTTACAAAATCAACTTCACTACAATTCAACCTTCCTTCCCCGAGGAAATGACCTTGAAATATTCATTTCAAGTAAAACACGACACTTGCAAGTCTCTCTTCGCTTGGAGAACACTTTTGCAGACACACACACACATTTTCATTCATACACACGTTTTTCCCATTTTTAGTATCGAACCCAAGGGAGAGTGACACTCACCCACACACATAAACCATACACACATTCGAAGGTTCGTGTTCGAAGATTAGGGTGAATGCAATCAAGCATTGTGACCAAATAATTGAACAAGAATGTTTGAACACAATTTATTTTGGTCTCATTCCATTCTGATTGATTTTCATTTCACCCAAGCCAAATGCCCACCAAAGCAAGGATTAAAATTTTAGTTTAGTGTTCTGCTTTAGTTAGCTTGAAATCAAAAATGTTTCTAGAAGATTTCATGAGCCGAATAGAAACTGAAAAATAAATAAAAATTATTTTTAAAATATTAGTTTGAAACAACAACAAAAATTTCAAATATCTTGAAACATAGAAATTTCAATGATTCATTCAATTTCTAGAAAAACATAAACGTTTATATTGTTTCGATTAAAAAAAGATTAATTTTGATCTTTGCTCTATAGATACATGTTTTAGTTGGACATCAAATAGATTTCCAGTCATGTCCTTAGATGATCTGGTTTAAGTTCTAAGTAAGCTGATGGTAAAAAGACATGAAGCTATGCCAAAGATCTTTCTTCTATGTTTAACACCTACTGAGGTACAAGAGATCACCACCTCTTAGACATTGGTGCTCTAAAGATGCTTTAAGCCATAAAACACTTTGAATTTTGCACATTCATGTATAAAATATCACGTGTTTTTCTTGTAGTGGTGTTGTTTATTGCACCACCGATTTTCACTCCCACCCCAAGAGTTACAAACTTCACAAATGTCATCCTCCGGCGTATCATCAAACAGAGGTGGAACCAAAAAACTTAGTCTAGGGGATAGACACATTTTTTTGGAAAATCAAAATAAAGATGACCCTAAAGTTTGTGTATTCCATTGAATGATACCATGCAAGAGGATTTTCCAAACCTTTTGAGCGTTGATCACCCTTCCAACTGCCCCTTTGGATCCATCATTAGTCATTAGAACTAAATTATTGATGCAAATCAGCTTCCGTACAACCCATTAATCTTCTCATACGAAAATGCTAAAAACTTATGGGTGGGTGTGCGCATGAAAGAACTTGAAAAATCAGTATATTTCCTCTCACATTCAATCTACACTTATTGATACATTTATAGAATGACATAAATATAAAGATGAGTACAAAGCTTGGAAGGTTGGATTTTATTCTATCACAACTTTGGAGAATCACAGAGAGGTAGGATCAATGGAGTTGGTTGATCCTCATCCTTATCTTTAATCTTTATCTCTAATACGCCCTTGCAAGTGAAGTGTGCCAAGAACTAAACGAAGGAATTGGAAACGTGGTGTAGGAAGCGATTTAGTAAAGATATCAGCTACTTGGTCCTTGATTGACAAAAAATTGACTTGGCGATTGCCCTTTGCCACATTATCACAAATGAAGTGAAATGCTATTTCAATATGCTTCACGCGATTATTGAAGATTGGATTAATGGTTAGGAAAGTGGCACCGACATTGTCATACCATAAGGCGGAGGAGTGTAGGCTGTGGAACATGAAGTTCTTGAAGTAAAGATTATAACAAAAAAATTTCAACAATAGCGTTGGAGAGAGCCCGATATTCTGCTTCGGTGATAGAGAGCGACGACGGATTGTATGCAAGCAGACCAAGAGACAAGACTTGGACCAAAGAAGATGGCATAACCAATTGTAGATTATTTTACAACTGTCCAGTGGGCATTGGTTGGTTTGTGCATGTATTGGCAAACTTTATTAACAGAGTAAGAAAGATCCGGCCGCGTGATGGTGATGTGTTGAAGGGTGCTAAAAAGGCTGCGATATTGGGTTCCATCAGAAAATTGATCATTGCCATGGAGATGAAGCTTGGTAGTGGGCGAGAATGGATTGGAAATGTGATTGTGCCCCGTTCATGTGAGCTCATTTGAGGAGATCAACAATATATTGGATTTGATTGAGAAGAAGCCTATTTGAAGTGTGGATAACCTCAATGACCAAGAAAAAATGTAGAGGACCTAAGTATTCGATGGCAAATTCTTTTCCAAGTTTGTGAATGAAAGATCGGATGTACATGGGAGAGCTTCCTGTGATAATGAAGTCATCCACGTAAATTAGCAAATACAAGGTCGAGCAAGATGTAACTCTAATAAATAGTGACGAATCTATTTTAGATGCGATGAAAGCTTGAACAATGAGAAAAGTGCTCAAGCAGCCGATCCAAGCACGGGATACTTGTTTGAGACCATAAAGGGACTTCCGCAAGCGACACATATGTTTGGGATATTGACAGTTGATGAATCTAGGAGGTTGTTTCATATAGACAACTTCATCAAGAGTGCCATAAAGAAATGCATTTTGAATGTTGAGCTGGCGAATAGACCAATCACGACTAGTGGCCAAACTTAAGATAGCGCGGATGGTCACCGGTTTAATGACGGGGCTAAAGGTGTTGGTGTAGTCATTACCCATGTGTTGATTGAAGCCTTTGGCGATGAGGTGTGCTTTATAGCGTTCGATTATGCCATCAGCCTTGCGTTTGAAGTGAAATATCCATTTGCAGCCCACAATGTTGGCATTCGGTGGGGGAGACTGTAGTGTCCAGGTTCCATTCTAAATCAAGGCATTTAGCACCGTTGCCATAGCTGCTCGCCAAAGCAGATCACGGGTAGCCGTGGTGACGTAAGTGGGATTATTGTCTAAGTCAACAGAGTGATATAACACTGTGGAAGCTTGGTGGCAATATTTAGCACTTTGGGACGTCGGGTACCATCATAGGAGCAAGTTACCATTGGGTGAGTGGGAACAGGCGTGGCAGGAATTGTGGCCGGAATAGGTGCGACTGGGACAATGGTTGGAACAGGCGGATGGAGAGATGCGTGGGGCAGATTAGAAGGTTGCATTGTTGTGGTGTCTGGCGGGGCAGCATGCAGGGGCGATGTTGCCTTGGGCTGAGAGGGACTGATTGTAGCAGAAGTGGTTTGATGCGGGCGAACCAAAGGCAAAGGAGACCGCAAAACAGTTGAGGATGGTGGCGGGTGAGATGGGCTAGATAGAGAAGCTACAAAAGGGAACGTAGATTCATCAAAAATCACATTAGGAGCTATATATATATATTTTTGTCGCAGCTGGTTGAGGCACTGATATCCATGACGTTGAAGACTATATATGAGAAAAACACACCGAGTAGAGCGATAATCAAACTTGTGTTCGGGATAGGGCCAAAGACAAGGATATCAAGCACATCCAAAGGCCTTGAAAAAATTGTAATCAGGTGTTTTGTTAAACACTTTCTCCATAAAGGGACAGGCACCACAAACCGGGTGGGATTTAGTGGAGCCAAAAAGAATGCCAATTGTTGTCAAGATGTTTTGAACCGTGCGAAGTGTCGGATGCCCTATGCATTGGTGCAATCGATCAGTTGCATCATAAAACAAGATGACTTTATTTGAAATATTAGGAAGCCGAAGTTGGTAGAGGCCATTAGAGCTCGGCCCGCGAAGTAGAACCTTCCCTGTGTGGATGTCCTTAACACAGAAATAAAATGGGTGAAACTCAAACCAACAATTATTATCGTGGGAAGATTTGTGCACGGAGAGAAGATTGTCTTTGACACGGGGAACATGGAGAATATTTTTTAAAAGAAAGGACGAGGTTGGAGTCCTAAATGAAGAAGAGCCTAGTGTAGTCAGAGAACAAATCTAGGTCAGAGAAATCAGAGGTGAGGTGATGGGTAGCTCCAGAATCAGGATATCAGATGTCCGAGGCCGCATTATGTGCGTGATATGCAACATGCAGATCAATGTATTGAAAAGCCTCATTGAATTGATTGTGTCATTGGAGTGCAATATGGCCAACAGGGTTGCAGACCTGACAAACTAAGTTTGGCAGAGAGATTGCAATTACTGGGAGCAGAACTAGAATTATTGTTACAGTGAGAATTGCGATTAAGGCCGCGACCACCACTAGATCTAGAAAATTGGCCATTGTGGGAACCACTGTTGTTGTGTTGTCCAAAGCCACGATCACCATGGCAACTACAATTACCACGATACTGTTGTGAGTGCTTAAAGTCTTTGAGCAGTAGAAAAAATGGTGTTACGGTGAGACAAATGGGCTACTAAAGCAATGTCGGAAGTGACGATATCATAGGCAATACGAAATTCATCAGAAAGAAGATGACACAATAAATCAGTGAGAGACATAGAATCTGCACGTGTCGCGGCCTTAAACCGAATGATCAGCCACGGCAAGTTGATGAGCAATTTTCTTTGCCTTATAAAAACATTTGTGAATGGAATCCAGGCCCTTTTTGTGGCCTGTAGTGGCATACGAAGCTAGAGGATCCATGCTCGTGAATGAGCCACATAAGAGGCGATAAGTGTTGTCCAAACAACATGAGAGGTAAGGAGGCCAATGACCTGGGCATGACGTCCTCGGTTAAGGAAGACAGGTGCCAGCCAAGTAGAAGTTGATCTTGGCATTGCCAAGTGACAAAATCAGGATTGATCATCATAGTAGAACCAGTCTGGATTTGTTCTGGTGGAGAAAGGATAGAGCCATCAACATAGCCGAGGACTTGGTGACCACGAAGATGCGACATGATTTGAGATATCCAAAAAAGGTAGTTAGTTTCATCAAGTTTTGTGGTGACGGTGATGGTATGAGCAGCATCAGAGGAAAAATAAGGAAGGCAGGGGTATTTTGAGGAAGTGTTGGTTTGGGTGTTAGTGGAGGAAGCTGACATGATTAAGAAAACAGAGTTACGAAAAAAAATAGCTTTTTAACAAAGTCAAGAACTTTGCTCTGATGCCATGAAAGTACTAGAAAATCTGTATATTTCCTCTCACATTTTTTTTTTCCAATTTTTTTTTTTTGGGGGGGAGGGGGAGGGGAATGGGGACTTGAACTCTTAATCTCAAAAAGACAAAGCCTTTATAAGATAAGGAGTACTATTGGACCAAAGAGTCATTCAATCTACACTTACTGATACATTTATAAAATGACAGAAATATGAAGATGAGCACAAAGCTTGGAAAGTTGGATGAGATGGGATGGAGTTGGTTAATCCTCATCCTTGTCTTTAATCTTTATCTCTAATAGCGCACAACCCTCATGAATCTAACTTTTCAAATAGGAGAGGTTTAAAACATAACTAAGTTTACAATCGAAATTCATTTTATACAAGATGAATCATTTTCTAATGCAATTTCCATAAGATAGACTTCTATGTTGAATAGAATGTAAAACATTGTTTTTCTACTAATATCCGCTAAGGTTGGTTTCTTTAAGAGAATTGTGAGACGTAACAAGATCTTTGGGAAAATAAATTCATGGAGATGAATGAAAGATGGTACGAACAATCAAATTTACTAATTGGGCAAGATGAAAAAAGCAATAAGTGGCTCATCTTTATTCATCAAAATAACATAGTTCTAACTTAGGAAGCAATCTCAGAATTATAAAATTCTCAAGGCACACAAGCACATATAATTTCATCAAAAGTAGTAAGGCATTATTGGCGGGTACCAAGAAGATCATCCTCATTCAGCTTTCCAAGAGGACAGAGGAGGAGTGTTTGCAAATCTCCAGTGAGAGCCATGTGTGGAGATGAATACCTATCACCCTTTACTGCATCAACTGTAGCAATAGATTCAAGCTCAAACATTTCATCGGGTGTCAGTTTTACAGATAAAGCTCCAACATTCTGGTTGAAATTTCCAAACTTGGTGGTGCCAGGTATGGGAGAAACATCGTCCCCTTGTTGATGGACCCAGTCCAATGCTAGCTGTGATACAATGCATCCTTTCCTTGTTGCTATTGCATTAACTTGCCCTTACAACTTATTGTTATGCTTGACATTCTCTGGTTGGAACCTTGGCATAGTCTACAAAAAATGGTAAGACAATTCAGCATAAAACTACAGTGGTGACTCATTGTTTCAATGAATCATTTTTTAAGGCAGAAAAAGAAACTTTGTATAGGAAACCATAAAGAGACAACCACAAAGATCAATGCCCCTATGATATTAATTAACCACAAAATAATGTTGAAGAGACGATTTTGTCAGATCTATTTACCTTTCTGAAGTCATTTTCAGGCAATTTCTCAACCATCTGTGGACCTGAAGTGAAGAAACCCTTTCCTAAAGGACTAAATGGAACGATCCCAATGCCAAGTTCTCTGAAAAGTTATAAGACTAATGAATTTAGCAATTTGAAATGCTCATCACTTCCTAAACATAATAGTTAGCATTTAGCACAAGCAAAATGTCTCACCTGCAAGTGGGAATGACCTCTTCCTCTGCATCTCCAGTTCGTAAGGATCATTCAAGTTGTATAGGTGTTATTGGATGAACAACATGCGCCCTTCTGATTGTATCAGGTGAAGCTTTAGACAGACCGATATATTTTATTTTACCCTCTTCAACTAATTTCTTGAGTGCTCCCATCTGGTAAAAGCATGGCATAAAAGAGACTAAGCAAAGTGAATATAAAAAAAAAAAAGAAACTAAGCAAAGTGGGACATGAGCTTTTTTCGGAAAGATCAAGGAAAATAATGGAATTGTTATTTAGATTCCTCAAATAAATACATAAAGATGAATTGAACTTGTCAACTAGTGATAAAAATAAGGAAAAATTTTAATCACACTCCTCTAGTTTACCATATCTTCAAGAACACCCTCTCTATTTTCTAAATTTTTACTAACACGCCTTATCAAGTTAAAAATATTAATTAGAATACAATTTTACTAAATTGCCCATGATATATTTGAGGTCAAACTTCATCCACAACTCTTTTATATAAGCTTATCTTCAATGAGACCAAATTGCATATAAATTTGATTAAGAGTTATCTAAATTATATTTTTTTACCTATATTTAAGTATCACGTAATAAATTTATAATAAAAAATCATTAACAATGTGGACGCTATCTGTTTAAGGGACTACATATAAATATATTTAATACTTCAGGAATCAAAATAATATAATTAAAATATTAGAGACCAAAATGAGATAAACTCCATACTTTGAGACCTTCCAATACAATTAACCCAAATTTCTACTTTCCCCCTCATTTAAAATGTCTACATTTGAGCTTAGGAATCTCTTCTTGTAAAATATGGGTCAAATTACAGCACCCAAGAATAAGTAATGGTCTTGTTTATAGGGGTGTCAAACGTGTCGGGTTAAATGGGTGACGGGTAGAAAATATATAAACCCGCACACGACACATTTAATAAACAGGTAAAAAATCTCAACACGAATACAACTCATTTAATAAACGGATAACACGACACGACTCGTTTAACCTGTTTAATTTTAAAAAAATATATTAATAATTTTAATACTCCACTTTTTTATTGTCAATTGCACTTACCTCAAAAAAGAGGAATTTTTAGTCAAATTTCATAAAAATAAGACTTGAAGACTTAAAAAAAAAAAAGCAAGAGGTCATTGCTTTTTATAGGCAACTCAACTCTCCTCATCTCTCCTCATTTTCTAATGTGGGACAAAAACAAAAGACACTGGTTTGCTTTTGTCTTTGAGATGCTCCTCATCTCCTCTCTTTTGTCTTTGAACTACTACTTTACTTTTTTTTTTTTTATTGATTTCTTTACTTTTTTTTTGCTTGCTAATTTTTAAAATAATTATTAATTTATTATTATATTAATTTTATTTAAACGGGCAAACGTGTGATAAACAATTTGACAGATCTCACCCGAACACGACCCGTTTATTAAACGTGTTTAATGTGTCAACTTGTTTATTACCCAAACCCGTTAATATCTCACTCAAACCCGCTTAATTCATGTCGATTCGTGTCTGTTAATCATGTCGTGTCAAATTTTAACAGCCCTACTTGCTTACCCTCTGAGTTTCTTTTGCACTTCTTGGAAAGTTCCCATGATTGTCAGAGCCAATGACAAACCAAGATGCCCTTTAATACTTTGTTTTCTCTAATTTTCTTTTTGACAAAAAAATGCTTATCATTAATACATGAGTAAGGTACCCATTTAAATATAATAGATCTCCCTTAAATTCACAGTGTAGTCGTGTTTTCTATTAATAAAGAATCTATTGGTTGAGTTGTTTTATATTAGAAGTCGTGCAAAGAATATGATGTTTTTGAGTGGATTAGACTTGACTCTCACAACCTCTCAATCACGGTCCTCTATCTCAATTTCGACACAAGATAAGAGGAAACGAGAAAATATTAAGTGCTTGGCAGCTATCAGTTGGCATCGTTAAATAGTACACATTATATACAAAATATTGTACATTCACATATAAAATATTATAAATTGTCAAAAAATGTACACATAAAATCAGGGGGAAGTCAAGTTTTTTTCTTTAGGGTGGACATTTAACTTACATCCTCTGATTTTTTTCTCTTAACCAATCATAATAAAATAATACATTTATTTTTACCATATCATATTTGATACATGAATTTCATTCATAATAAAGGGGCTAAAAATAAGTGTATATTTTGTGTGTGTGTGTGTGTATAAAGATGACTAATCATCACTATTGTAAAAATGTGAGGTTAGTTATTATTGTGTAACTAAAAAGCTATCTAATCAATTATTAACCGATCATCCATTAAATTTAATGAATAGTAAAGACACTTAAACAAGAATCTAAAAACTAAACATAATAAAAAATTTAAACACCGTTGACACATAATAAACATTACAATCAATTGTCAGACAAAAATAGAAACAAGTTATTGCAAAAAAATAAAAGTCTTGAAGGTTAATTGCAAGTATTTTCTCTTTTGAATTAAAAAAATAAAAATAAAATTTATAATTATAAATATCAAGGTCACTTGTAGAAAGCTTTTATACAATGAAAAATACTAAACAATTGAATTGATAAGAAAGTCATAGGTTGCACAAGTAAAAAATATTTAATTAAAGACACTATCCAAGGCATGTGGTCACTTCTGGGTTGTTTTATTTTTTGGTTTGCCGGCCACTTTTAGTGTAGCTCAACTAATTTGTTGTTTGGCCTACTCAAAAGTAGGTCATTCACATTGTGATTAAGATATTCATAAATAATAAATTTTTATCATCTGATCCAAAAAATAATTAAAATTTAAATTCAGAACGTCTAAATTAACAGTTCGTCCATATTACTATTTCAGTTATCCCTTAAAATTGAGATAACCATAATTTTTTTTGAAAGTAACTGCAATTAGATCATTGCATATAAAAGTGACTGCAATTAGAGCAGCAATGAAACCCATTACAAGCCCGCATTGTATATGAAAGTCTACAATTCCGCAATGCAATGAGACTCACTGTAAATCTGCATTGCATATGAAAGTGACTGCAATTAGAACTGCAATGGAATCCATTACAAGTCCGCATTGCATATGAAAGTGACTGCAATGGAACCCATTACAAGTCTGCATTGCATATGAAAGTCTACAATTCCACAATGCAATGAGATTCACTGTAAATCCGCATTGCATATGAAAGTGATTGCAATTAGAACTACAATGGAACCCATTACAAGTCCGCATTACATATGAAAGTCTACAATTCTGCAATGCAATGGGACCCACTGTAAATCCGCATTGCATATGAAAGTGATTGCAATTAGACCTGCAATGGAACCCATTACAAGTCCGCATTGCATATAAAAGTCTACAATTCCGCAATGCAATAGGACCCATTGTAAATCTGCATTGCATATGAAATAATGCGACACGTATATATTTGTAGGGCAATGTTGGGCGAATAAACCATGCACACATGCATCATCCATACGTAGTCATGTACTTTTGTACTCCTATATAGGGGGGGGGGGGCGCATAAAATTGCAACAATCTCATCTACTTTCTCCATTTCTCATATGTACTCAATGTGATTTGTTTTCCTGTTGGAACTCAAATTTTTTGTGTCTTCTACAGGGAGTGGTATTTATTAATGGCCGAAACAGGAAGAACAACCTTCTTTCACTGGGGGTAGACAAACTTTTTAGAACAGTTCAATGCTGCCTCTATTGATATGAGATTCAAATTGTCGAAAGAACAACGTACTACTTCTCTTTCACGCCATGCAATTCTCATATTTATTGTTCTGGTGATCATCAACCTCCAGCAGTTGAAGTGTCAAGGAAAAAACAAAACTCCATTCGAAACCTACCCCAAAACCTTGGGGGTTGCCATTACTAGTTTGCTCTTATATTGCATCTTGTCCGAAGCAGAACTGAGATTTTCTTCTCCAATCTATGCCAGTATTGTTCACCAGGTTATGACATTGTTTGGTTTTTGTCATTGACATCTCTAGCATCAACTTTGTTCCCAGACTCTGTTATGCTGGTTCTCTATATAGTGTTTATCATGCTTTCAGCAAGTGAATTGCTACGATGGTTTTGCTAGACAGTAATGGGGGAACCTGGAGAATCAGGCTTTCATGGTAGACCCATTGTACGCCACTTCATTGATTCACATCGACACAGGGCACATGCTTTTACGAGTGAGAGGAACATACTTCCAGTGTAACTGGAAGCAAATTAAGGCATCTGTGGTAAAATTAAGGCAACGCTAGACAATTAAAGGAGGATTTTGACATCAGAAAAGCCCAAAACCAAAAGGTATCTGAAAAGCCATAGGGCCTACCAAAATATTAGTAGTGCTAAAGTATGTGTAAAATGTGGGAATAAGGCTACTTTAGCGAGAAGCTATCTGTATTTTTCATCAAATTATGTATCGAATGTTTAATATAAAGATAATATGGTATGGATAATTGCACAAGAACTATCTCAGATTGCTAAAAAACACATACATGCAAACAGATACATGAAGAAAATTATTAGTCAATCAATTAAAGAGCATGGAAGAAAACAGTCTCGGAATGAAGCCAAAGACAATTCCAAATTGATGAGTCTAACCACTAGTACTAAAATTATAGCGTAACTCCCAAAATTGAGCTGGGAGGGTACAGATCATTTGAACCTTGCCAGTAAATGTTAGTTATTATAGCCATTTATGAAAACTGAACAGATCATTTGAACCAAGTAGGTCCATTTAGTCACTCATATAAACAGAATAAATCACCTGAACCAAGTTGTTCTTATTCTCCCTTTCCTTTTTAATCTTTCTCCAACATTACGGAACAAGCCAAAGGAAAAAGATCACTGTAATCTTTATCTTTCACGTCTATTCATAATCAAAACTTTACCAATGTGAACTCCATAGATACTTGCACAAAAAAAAATAAATAAATAAAGGGATCCATAGATACCTTTGGACTCATCTGATTTGTCTGTGTACAAGACATTACTTGTTTGCTGC